CCAACCTACCATTTTCCCTTTCCCTATCTCTCTACCTACTATATACACTTATCTTTACTACATTATGTCACAAACTCCCAAGTTGCAGTAATTTCACCATTTCTTCAAGGAATCTCTGCCCAGTCCCCTTCCCGGACTCCCCTATGTTTCTACTCAATTTTCCCCAATTCCACTCTATTTGATCCAGTTATTTTTAGTGTTTCCCCTACTATTCATGCCCCCTTTACTTACACCAAACCCTCCCCTAAATATGTTATCTGTAAATGTTCTCTGTGCGGCCGGTCTCCAGCCCCAAACTGTCATTTTTTATCCATTTCAACTTGCTGACTCTCAGCCCTTCCTACCTCATCCTCTCACTACAACTCCCCCTAAAAAAATTTCTTGATTTTACTTATGTCAATGATGCCCACTCTTGAGTAAACCTCCAAACACATCCATCTTTCAATCCATACACTCACACACCATAATTTTAACAGTCAATTGTAAGATTTAAATACCATTAAATTTCTCGGGGCATCAACCCCTTGGCCCAGCAATTAGACCACTACAGATGCATATATCTATGTAAATTTCCATCGACATATTCAATGCCCTACACATACTTAGAGCATTGACCCCTCGACCCAACAACAGGACCAAGTAATAGATACATATATATATAAATTTTTCATCGACATATTAAATGTCATACACATACTCGAGGCATTAACCCCTCGACCTAGCAACTGGGCCAAGTAATAGATACACATATATATAACTTTTCCATCGACATATTAAATGCCATACACATACTCAGGGCATCAACCCCTTGACCCAGGCACTGAGCTAATTAATATGCAATTCAGCCATTCATTGGAGCATAAGAAGCACCCAAAAATAAATGTATTTAAATACATAAATAAATGTATTACAGGAATCACCAGGTATCGGTACCCCCTCCAACAGCATATGCATGTTCTAATTTCCCTCATATTTCTTAACTCTTTTTTTTTCCAGTTTATTTCCTGCCCATTCATTTTCTATGTTATCAGTCTCTCATTTGACCAACTAAACTAATCGGTCCTCCATTCACCCAGTCTTTCGTTTATTTCAGGTCCCA